TTTCCTAATTTAATTTTTAAACTTTTATTAGGACATTAATTTCAAATGAAAATTTACATATTTATAAATAATATTTTAAAATTTTTAATCAAATAAAATTATTCAAAAAAAGTTATATATAGGATAAAGAAAATTTTTAATTATTATTTATATGTTTTGTTAAAATTTTATCTAAAGTTAATTTTTGAAAAGTTAAAAAGTTAAAATAGGCCTATTAAATAAAAGAATATTATTTTGTGAATGGATGCATGGATATAAAGTTGAAAAAAAAAACCTGAAATTATAAAAAAAAAAAAAAAGAAAAGAAAAAGAAAAATGAAGTTAGCCAAGTTACATGCCGAATATGTTCCTAAAAAAAAAAAAAAGTTACATGCCGAATAAGTTGACTGGTAATATCAGGGCTTACGTGGTGACATGTAGAACTGATGTGGCGGAGTACAGCTGCTGACGAGGCATAATCCAAATCATCCTCTCAAAATGCATGAAAAATAAGTGGCAACACGAAAATTGTAAATGAAAGAAAATATAACATTAAATTATAGTAGAAGAGAAATATTATAAATGTTTATTACAGATTAGTATATGTTGATCGTATAGAGAGAGTTATTATTTATTTATTTATATACAATTTTTACATATATTATTTACATAAAATGTAAATCATTTATTCATCCATTTTGAATGGTTGAAAATGATTATGATTATTTAGATTAAAAAACAATTATTTTTAAAAAATAGAATAAAAACAAATAAATTTAACTATTTGGAGTAAAAAGATAAATTATTAAAATTTTATATAAGTGATGTATGTAAGAATTGATATAAGTAAAGTTTAATTCAAATAAATCTAAATCGTTAAAAACAGAGAAATAAATTATTAAAATTTTTATATAAATATAATATATAAAATTTATGTGAAAATACATACCTACTATATGTATATATATATATATAAAATAGTGCCTACCTAAATGAAAACAAATTATTAAACATATGAAGTGAATTTTCCATGGAGACTTGGTACAAAATAAATTAAACAATTGGTGAGGTGATTCTTTAAATTTGGTGACGTTGTTGTTTTTTATTTTAATTGTAATGTTTACATAATAATAATTAGTACTATGTGTAGTCATTCAAGTATCTGTTTAATAATAGTAATTAATTCAATCTTGAAGTTAATTTTTTTAAAAATTAATTATTTTTTAAAAATATATTAAGTTAATATTAGTAATGCGTCTTTATCATTACTTAAAGAGAAATAAGTTTCGAAATGTATAAAATTAAAAACTTCTTGACCACAAAATTTTTTTTCTTGGTTTTTTTAACTTATGATACATATTAAGAGTATTTTTTTATTATAAATATGTATAAAAAAATATAAAAAATGTTATTAATTTTAATATTAGGTGAATTTAATTATATAATTAATAAATTAAATGTTAATTTTTATTTTTTTAATATAAATTTATGATAAAAAAATATAATATAAGTTAGACAAAATTTTTTATTTAAATAATAGATTCAAGTGATTTGGTCTGTCCCATGAATCCGTTGGGAGTTGGTTGATAGTTAGGTGGATTTCTTCAAACAAAAGGATTCCTCTTCTTTTCCTTACCTTTCTTGGTTATCGTTCCACTTTCTTTCTTCT